CAACTTTGGGCTCGTTATAAAAACAATTCGTCAGAAGATAGGTATCGTGAACATAGATTATTCTCAAATCATGTCACTACAGAATTGAAAAAAGCAAGGCAACTCTTCGAAAACAACTTAACAGAGACGGAGTCTCCGAAAAAGTTTTACAAATATATTAGATCAATGCTTTCAACAAAAGTGGGAATTGCTTTACTACGAAAACCTGACGGTTCACTTTGTACGTCTAACCAACAAACGGCTGATATTCTTGCGGACGAATTTTACCACAACTATAGTAAAGAAACGTTTGGCCCCTTTATTCAATCATCTATACATCACAAAAACTTTTTGTCAACCATATCTATTACCGAAGAAAACATAAAAGCAACTCTAGAGGAAATAGCTAGAAGGAAAAGTGCCCCAGGGCCCGACAATATCACATGCCAACTGATTGCTGCATGTTTAGACGAAATTGTATACCCTATATACTTAATCGCCAAATCTTCTTTTGAAGAAAATATTTTGCCCCCTCAGTGGTTAACTGCAAATGTAACACCTATCTACAAAAAAGGCGATAAGTTCTCTCCCAAAAATTATCGACAAATAAGCTTAACGTGTATTATCTGTAAAGTTTTGGAAACAATTATATTTAAACAGATGTTAACCTTTTTGTTAAACGAAAAAATCATTCCTGATTGTCAACATCGCTTCCTACCGGGACGCTCCCCAATCTCAAATATGTTGATTTGTGTGAACGACTGGACCCTGGCTCTTGACTCCAATCAACCAATTGACATAGCATACCTCGACTTTTCGAAAGCTTTCGATCGAGTTCCCAGGGAGAGGCTACTCTTCAAGCTACACTGTGCCGGTATAAAAGAACTTATTAAATTGGATCAGAGCGTTTCTCACGAACCGATCATTCAGAGTTAGAGTAGGTTCAGATTTTTCTCAAAGTAAATCCGTGCTTAGTGGGGTGCCGCAAGGTTTAATTTTAGGACCTTTGCTTTTCTTGGTTTTCACTTCTCATATCCCAACTCAAATCCAGTCTAATATTGCCATGTTTGCCGATGACATAAAAATCTATTCTAATCCTATCACATACCCCAGTCAGTTACAAAAAGATCTTCAAACTATCAGACACTGGTCCAACGCTTGGCTGTTACCTTTAAACGAAGAGAAATGCGCTATCCTTCACATGGGCAAAAACAATCCCATGAGAAATTACAGTATCAACGAGACAGCAATAAAAGTAATTAAGGAACAAGTTGACTTGGGAATAACTATAACTAGTGATTTGACGTGGTCGTCGCATATTACAAAAATTTGTCATCGAGCGAACAAGATGTTGTATTTGATCAACAAGGCCTTCCAACTTATTTCGACGAATTCAGCTAAGAAGATCTACACAACTTATATTCAACCCATTTTAGAATTCGGCGGACCGATCTGGAATTGCGATCGTATAAGCGATAGGAACCGCTTAGAGCTTACTCTACGTCGAGCAACCAGACTACCATATGGAAATATCAGGCCACCATTTGAAGAGAGACTCAGAGCATGGAACTTAACCACTTTCGCACAAAGAAAACAGAGAGGAGACATTATCATGACATTCAAGATTCTCACTGGTCGTTTTCCCATCCAGGCAGCTGACTTTTTCCAAGTAAACCAAGACACACGATTTCGAGGTCACTCCCTAAAACTTAAAAAAGAAAACTTTAAAACTACGGTCCGCCAAAACTTCCTGTCAAACAGAGTATTCCAGATTTGGAACAATCTTCCCGAACAAGTCATCAACGCGCAGTCCACTAACATTTTTAAGAACCGATACGACCAACACGCAAATTTACACTTATAAAACTTATTAGCTTCAGAAGTTACCTTTCTTTAAATTTAATTTGTATTTTTATGTAGGCTTAAATTTTGAATTTTGTTTTCTTTATTATTAAAAAGACCAATTATATTATGTTAACTCTGCGGACTAATAGATTAGTCTCAGTCTGCACTACGTATGTAATAATAAAATAATAATAATTCTTCAAAATTTTTTGTCCCCATAACAGTTACCCCATCACTATCATGAGGACTCTGACGAAAATCCTGCTGAAGTTTTTCAGTTAAAGTCGAAAATGTTGATAAATTATTATCCTCGTTATTATCTTTGTCATTTGTCTTTAAATTAACCAGGTTGACTGAAAATGTGTCTGGACGTAGAGTCACATCAGAAATCACTTGTATTATTTTAGAAGAGGAACTTTCTCTATTTTGATCTTGACAGCCACTTTCTGAATCGCTGGAATTCTTCGTAGTCTTGATGATTTTTGAAGGTGATTTTAAGTACCGCTGGATTCGTTGTTGAGCGAGTCCGTGTTGTTGCCGAGGTTCTTGTGATTTTTTAGATTCTTGACTAGTTGCGGTGACATGTACTTTAAAATGTCTATGGAAATTTGTATATATCCAACGGCTCTTATAGTTATCACCTTTTGATATTTTATAAATAGGTATGTGTTTATTGCAAAAATAAATAATGTTACAGGTTAGGTTATTGGTAGCGTCCAGCTTTGAAACAATTTTTATGTTGTTGAACTTTTCATTGAAATAATTCCATTTTTCATCATCTTGACAAAACTCTTTTACCCATTTCTTAAGTGATCGTGAAATTGCACAATTTTCTTCCGTCAAGTTGAATGATACTGTATGTTGTTGGTTTTTCTTGCAGGTTGGTGATGGACCTTCATTGTTAGAGTTTTTAGGAGATAGGATCTGTAATCTCGATAACTTCTCGAAGGAGACGCAATACTGTATCAGCATTGTTAAAATTTTTCGGTATCCACCAAAAATTTTAAACGACTGGACATTGCGGGCAAATATTCCATAATAACTTTCAAAATCGTTTTTATCTATAAGAGTGGGTAATGTGTTTTTAGAGAAATTTTCAATTTCTGCAATGTCTTCGTCAGTAATTTTGGCAATTAAAGATACATCGCGATAACCATTTATTACAAGTAACTTCTTTAAATGTTCAGGTATATTTAATTTTAAAGATTGATCTTTTAAAAAGACAGAAACGGAATCATTACATCAGATAATAAACTCGACGATTCAGCAAGCAAAAAATTCAAAATTCCCTCCATCTCCGCAGTTTTTTTTTTTTTCAAAATTCAGTATATTTGTAATGAAAGTATTTTGTAATTCTCTTATTAGCACCAAGAAGAGAAGAATAGTATATTACGTAACGAGAGGGTTAAAAAGGCAATTACGCAAGAGAGAAAAAATTTCAAGCACGAGGCGTTAGCCGATGCGGTAATTTCGCGAGTGCGTAATTGCTCTTAACCCTCGAGTTGCGTACTATACTTTTTCAACAAACCCCCAATTTCGGGTAATTTTCGATGAAATTATCGAATGTCACTGTCTTAGTTCAATCACATTTCCGTTCTAGCAGGATAATGCTCCTCCGTCTCCAAATACCACCATCGCATGATTCAAGAAGAAGCGAGGCGTCATGATTTCGCAAACTAAGAATTATAAAATATTTGTCTTCATAACAATATATATTACCTACTGGTCATTACCCATTCTTCTGGGTAATGATGGATTTATTTTAAAGGACACCCGTTTGTAATTGATCGATTACTATAAGAGGAGTACTTATATGTGACGTAATTTGATATTTTATGTTCAAGAGTGTTAATCTGTCCAATTTTTATATTTTAACAATGTAATGCACTGTTGAAATTTCAGCTCACTGCGTCGACTTTTCTTTAACAAACTACTGATATGTCAACACAAATTTTCAAATGCAGTTTTTTGGTTCAAGTGTGCTTCTCAATAAAATAACAAATGAAAAACTTGATTACAGATCTATCACTGATTAAAATTTATGTACCTATTTTTGGAACACCTCTATATTACGATACATGAGAGAATAACTGACCCTTAAATCCAGTTTACAGAAAGTCGAATTAAATATTTTCACTCCAAAATTTCAGTCAGTATATCACTCGGTATAGTATCCTGACGTTACATATTAATAGGACAATAGTGAGCTCATAGGTCTTAGTTCACAACAATGCTCCTATTACTACTGATCCTACTACTATTCCATTGCACTATCATTAATTTATTATAGATGGAATGATATTTCGAGCGGGAACTGACTGCGAAACTTCGCGAACAACAAAGTAAGAAAGAGCGAGATAAAAATATAGATACGCTGCCGTGTGCACTAGGTGTCGCGCTGGCTACGCGCCTGAATTTTAAAATTCATTCGGTCATTTTATCAATACATAATAATTATTATTCTTGATTGTTAGGAAATGATGTGCGTCTTAGGGTTTTAACATTTGTCAAATTAATTTGATAGGGAGGAGAAACTATAGCTTTGCACGACCTGAACTTAATGAATTTGGTACCTCATATCACAAACTCAATTTTTAAAAACTAATTTGGAGTGAAATTATAAATTTGGTTTGTAGGTATAAAGGAATATAATGTATCATTTCTCATCGGAACTGCACTTCATTAACTACAACTTTAATATTTGTCAAGCTGAAATATCATGCTGTCAGTTAATGATATTATACTGGAATTTTCTATCATTATGCCCTTAAAAGGTTATTTAATCTCCACTTTTAAAATTAAATTGACATTTTCTTTCTTATGATGAATGCTATGACTTATGTCGTACATGTTACGTTTATTAGTTCTAGAAAATATCTAGTTTAACTGGATTTGCTGTGATGATTTTGGATTTCCTTTGTTTTCTTGTTGATTTCTCGTTAATTTCTCATTGATTTCCTCTTGATTTCCTTTTGATTTCCTTTGATTTCCTGTGATTTCCTTTAATTTCCTGTGATTTTCTGTGATTTTCTGTGATTTCCTTTGATTTCCTAGGGCGTGTACAATTGATTTCCTCTGCGGTTTACCCCTCGGTTTTTTCGTTGGATATAATTCGTTTTTATTCACTTAGTAGTAATACACTCTAAATAAGAAACTGGAGAAATAAAACAACAAAATGAACTAAATAAATTTTAATATTCCTTGATAGAGTCTCCCTTTTGTTACAATAAAATTAATCCATCTGAAAAAAGATATGCAGGTCCACTATCCACAGAACCTCCAGGCGACAAATACTGACAATGTGGAAGAAGAAATCCAACATCACAATGACAGTGTCCCAAATTATTGCAGTAGCCGTTGTTGTAACAATTATGAGGGCACTTCCTCCCTTCTTGTATTGAAGCAACTGACACACACTTTTGATTTACACACATCTGAAACAAATTACATATTCTATATTTAGCAATACCTAAGGTTTGTAAAAGATACCTTTCGTTCTTCTTTATTCCCACATTTAGCACCACTGGGCACCATACCAGGATCTGAACTGTCCAAACCCAAATCCACAGTGGCAGTTTTGCATGCCAGAATTAAATCTTTAGATTTAATATAACTATGACTGAGTATAGAAGTTGCTTCTAGTCCATATTCGAGACGATCGTTATTGTGCTTACATTGAAGGGCACCACATTCAACATCTCTGTTAATGATCAAATTTAGTTGTCTGTATAGATCAAAATAATGACTTACTCTTGGTTACATTTAATGTACGTGCTGTTTACACGGTTGTAACCGCAGTGCCCATGGCGGTACCCTTTCACATTTAATTTAAAGCATTCTGGAGATGATGGTTCTCCGGTAGGTCCCCACAAAAGTTTACACTGGTCAGAATGTGTACCACAAGAGCCTTCGTAGCAGTACCCATTACCATCTCTGCAGATTTCACCGTCTAGTTTATATACGTCTCTAGGGCAGTATTCACTTATGCCTGAACAATACTCGGATAGGTCGCATTCAGTGGAAGATCGCCGACACGTCATCCCAGCTTTCTTCAAACTGCAAGTCTACAAGTACATAGATGACAAATAATAATTCTGATTATGGAAATATGCTTTCTAAAAACTACACCTACTTTAATATCACAACACTCTCCTGTAGCACATGTGGCATTCTCCTTCAGCTTACACGTCTCCGCATCGCAGCAGTTGTTAGTACAGTACTCTGGAAGACCACAGTCGCACTCCTCCCCATCTTCCAGAAATCCGTTGCCACAGACGGGACCTTTAAGAAGCGAACTGGGTTTGTTCCTCAAGCAGTGGTCCATACCATGTGCGAAGGCGTCTTTTAACTTTTGGACACTGCACGATGACCAGTGTGTTGGTACTTTCGAAGTTGTTTTAACACCCATGATGCACTGTTCATCTGGACAAGAGCAGGTCTCGTTGTCGTGTTCCATTCCGAAATTGTGTCCAATCATATGCGCTACGGTAGTGGCCACGGCACCAATAACTCGCGAGTGATAACTAGAGATACCCCCTGAATATTCCTCAGTGCATATGGGTCCTTTTAATGCTTTTCCCACAATTCCGTTAGCAAAAATCTTATTTCTAAAAAAATAATTCGTGTTTTGAAAATTAGTAATTTCGAACGTGTGTATTTATTTACGTTATTAATTGAGCGTTATCGTTGGGATGCTGCACTACTAGATTGTGGCGTCTGTAGTCTAAAAATTTGTTTAATGTGTTGTCACCATCTGTGGAAAATTCTATTTCGTCTTTCTCCGTCCAAATAACTACTCCTACGAGCGCTACGAAGATGTTCAAAGGCAAGTATAGCTACAAACTGCGAATTAAAAGAGTCACTTTATACGTAGTTGGCTCACCCCATGTACTATATTGGCGACGTTTTTAGAAAACTGTTCAACCTTTTCGACGCTGCTTCCCATTTCTACATATTTTTCATTGTCTATTACTAGTAGTAGTTCGAGATACCTAGATGCGGTATTGGCACTCTGTGGTCCTCGAATTGTGGTAATATTTTGCGTTGTATCTCTTCTATTCTAGAAGAAAATTCCTCGCGGTAATAATAACCCAATATTTTTAATACTCAACTTACCCTTAATAATTTGTGTTTGTTGTGTACCGAGTCTGTGAAACCGCAACCATGGTAGTCTTGACCCAAATCTTTCTGACTATAGACAACGTGTTCATTATCTTCTCCGTTTTTCTTCGTTTCGATATACAGCGTTTCGGTTCCAACATGAATAACACCAGATAAACCGTCACATGTAGATATAGCTACCCAAGAGTTTGGTTTATTTCGTACGGCGCCTGTGTAGTGGCAAAACTGCATTTCGTCAACAGACGGTTTGTCAATATTGTCGATTCCATTTTCTTGAGTCTTTCGGAAGTATCCTTCCGCAATTAATTGTTTGTTTAAAGTTAAATCTAAAGTTAGTTTTTCGTTGTTTAAAGGAAGGTCAATAGTCAAGCGGTCTGGATGGTGTTGTGTTCCCTGAAACGGTTATCTCCAATAACACCATTTAAAATAAAAACCTGAGTTATAATCGTAGTTACTTTTGGTCCTAGCTTTGTGGTCAGGCGTTTATCGTAGATGATTGGTTTTACGAGGTCATATGGAGTAGGTTCGTGAGTAGACACTAAAACAATAAATAATGTGGTGATATACAGATAAATCATCTGTTAACATACTGGGTGTATTTTTTCAGTTGATACAACCCGACAAGTTTATTTTTGAAGATAAGTCCTTTTGGACAAGTTTGTACCGATCTATTTGAAAGTAAACACATTCTTTAGTTTTACTTTTGGTATCACCGGAACTGACATCAACTTTATATTAAAAAAAAAACAACCAGTAGATGTTTTAATAAATGAATACTTTGTAATTTTTACCACAGAAATAATTTGTCGTGGTCTGAAGTGAATTAAACATTTATGAGGTTTAAACTAGGATTGACTGTTATATTTAGTTTTCATAAAGTGTCATCTTTCCGAAAATAACAGTCGGTAGGGCACAGACCAAAGAAATCCAAGGCGTTCACACTCGAACAAATGGAGAGTTTCTTTGATAATACTTCTGATGGTGAATATTTACTACAAAAAATAATTTTTGTGCCTTCAAAATTTAGAAGAATACACGGGTCACAGTTTTAGGCGTTCGACTACAACTGTACTAGCAGCCTCTCGGGCAGATTTAATAGTTGTAAAGAGACACGGTGGCCGGCGATTGAATAGTGTTGTGGAAGGATATATAAAGGACTCTCTGAATAATAAAATCGAAATTTCGAGAAGAATCATTGAGCAATCATTAACAATATTTAATAAATAGATCTGCCTTGAATCCGGCAGCAGGTTTCTCTGCGTCAAATTCCGGGTCAAAACAAGAAACTAATCATCAAGACATTATTTTGTCGGCAATTTGATATAAATTTTAGTAATTTGAATAATTGTAAGTTTTATATTTCACATTATGAAGACAAAAACTAATTCAATGTTAATATTTTTTTGAGGAGAAATAAACATCTGTTCTTCAATTAAATTTTTTAAATCATTAAACGCTTTGATTTCACTAGTGAATGATGAACTCCTTATGAACGTTATGAACGTTACTGTCAATAATAATATAATAATAAAGTCAATTTGAATTCTCAAAATGGAATAAAACTGATTACTAATTTGTAAAACAGCTTCGTTGTTTAGTGGTTGTTGTTAAAAATCTCATTTTTAAAGCCGTTTTTAAGCAAACAAAAAAAAATTGAAAAATTATAAAATTTGATCTTGCTTTTTCGTAATAACCTCTATGTAGTAAAAACAATATAGAAGGTATTAGTTACAGTCTAATAGAAAAAAAGTTTTCACCTTCTTAAAAAAAGTCAGTTGGGAGCCTCGAGAAGATTTAATATTCTTAAAAAAAAAACACCGGGGCCGAGAAGCTTTCACTTTCTTAAAAAAAAAGCCATTCGGCGCCCCCGAGAAGGTTTTACATTTTTAAAAAAGCCAGTTGGAAGCCCCAAGAAGGTTTCACATTCTCAAAAAAATACATTTGGCGCTCAGAGAAGGTTTTACATTTTTAAATAAAAAGGGGATTCTCACCTTTTCGAGAAAGTGGGGTAATTTCATCAATAAAAAATTTGTTATAACGTCATTATTAATGTTATTATTATTAATATTATTATTGGTTATGTTGGCCAACAGGTGTGAACCCAATTACAGACCAACAATAAAATTGCAAACATAATCAACAGCTAATTAATTACTGCTTTACTCAGATAAGAATAGTTAAGCAATTCAAACGCAGGTATAATATTAAATTTATCTATTGTATGCAGAAAAACAAAGGGACAGGTAGAAAGAGAAATGAGAGAGCAAGAAAGAGGAGAAATATTATCATTTTTATCTAAATATATCAAAGGAATTCTGAAGTAGGTTATATTGATTACACATCTCATAAATAGGAGAGTATTTTTCTATATTAAGACGAGGTGTTCGCAGATAAAAACAGGGGTGAGAACGAGCAGACGATCTAGGAACGAAGAACGATAATTTACTAAGAGATCAGAACAGTCAATATCAAAATTTATTAACTTTTTAAGAAAGATTAACAAAGCCTTTATTCGTCTTGTATTCAGATCCTCCAACTCAAATCTTGAAAGAAGTGCCGAATGAGGTGATCCTCTGGCTGGGTAAACACCATCCTCCCTATATGCCAAGTATTTTAGAAAACGACGCTGAACTTTTTCCACTGCCTGGATATGACATTGTGTAAACGGTGACCATACTATACTAGCATACTCCAGCTTCGATCGAACATAAGCAAAATATAAAACTCGCATGCAACCAATGTCCTTAAAATTCCTGCTGCATCTAATAATAAAGCCTAGTGACTTTAGGGCTTTTGAACACATGTTGCTAATATGATTCTCAAATGTCAATTTGGAATTAAAGAAGACTCCTAAATCATAATGTGTCTCCACTCTGGTTATAAGTGAATTGCTTAAGCTATAATTAAACATTATTTGCATGCTTTTATTAGTGATGGACAAGATTTTGCATTTACTGTAATTTACAGGAAGGAAATGGGAAGAACTATAGCTTAGAAAAATATCAAGATCATTCTGCAAAATAATACAATCTTCAACTGATGTAATTTGTCTGTAAATTTTTAAGTCATCAGCATAAATTAAGACATTTGACTTAATGTTCTTAACGATATCATTGATGTATATGACAAACAACAGAGGTCCCAATACTGAGCCTTGAGGCACACCAGAGGATACAACAGTAATTATCGACTCATGACCTTGATATTTGACACGCTGTAATCTACTATACAAATACGAACCAATTAGCTTAATGAGAGAATCAGAAAACCCAAAGTTACTCAATTTTGCTAACAGGATATTATGATTAAGTTTGTCAAAAGCTTTAGAATAATCGGTGTAAACTACATCAACCTGAAGTTTTGCATCAAGTTGGTCAGCTGCAAACTTCGTAAAAGCACACAAATTTGTAACAGTAGACCGGCCAATGACAAATCCATGATGAGAATCACTAATTAAACTGCGAATATTGAAAAAGAAAGATTTATGCAACACCGTTTCAAAGATCTTGGCGAAGTTACATATCAAAGATATAGGTCTGTAATTTTCCACAGCAGTTCGTTCGCCACATTTAAATACGGGAGAAATTATGGACAATTTCCATACATCAGGGAAAGTGCACGTCTTTAAGATTAGATTAAATAATATGGAAAGAGGATAAGCCAACACAGCCGCACAATCTGACAATAAGAAAGCAGGAATATTGCCATGACCCGATGTATTATTCGCTTTTATTTGCTTAAGAGCACAAAGGACCTCGGATTCAGAAATAGATGTTAAGTTGAAACTTGTGTTTGAAGCTCCGTCAAGAAAATTATCAATATTATCAATATTACAAGTATTATAGTTGCTAGAAAAATGTTCTGCAAAGGCATTAACGATGTCAACAGGTTTTGTTAATAACTTATCAGAGTACATCATCTGCGAAGGAATGGCATAAGAACTATTTAAATTATTAACGTAAGACCAAAACCTGCGAGGTTCAAACTTGATTTTAGCTTCAAGATTAGATGTGTAGTTGACAAAAGCAACTTTTATATCCCGTTTAAGTTCAGATTGAACTCTTTTAAAACGACTATATGTTCCCACACTTTTCCTTAATCTGAAATTACGAAGCAGCCTCCATTTAAGTTTTAAATTGCTGATGATTGCAGCCGTGAACCAAGGAGGAAAAGATGATTTCCGTAAGCGATGGGTTTTCGGAACATGCAATTCAAGTGCCATGTTAATCTGATCATAAAAAAGAGAGCAAGCCTGATTGACATCATTAATGTTATTAAGGAACTCCCAATTGGAATCTGTCAAATATTTATATAAACCAGGATAATCAGCTCTTCGAAAATTCCACTGTTTATGAGCAGATCTATTATTATTTATCGATTTCTGTCTTGGTTTCTGCCGCTTTATAGTGATCAAAAGGGATGGGTGATGAAGATCCTCATTAACCAGAGAATCAGAAGCCTTTTCAACTAAACAGTGGAATCCTGAAATCACTAAATCGAGACACCGTCCATTAGCATTGATGATATTGTTAAACTGTCGGTAATCACAAAAATATAAAAAGTTATATAAAGATGACAGAGGACTATTACCCGTTACAAAACCAGATGAACTGTATTGATAATTAGAAATATTAAAATCCCCAATTAGGAGAACTCGCTGATTATATAATTCGGTTGTGGCAGAGATTAAATGAAATAACAATTCATATTCCTCGACATTGGCTTTAGGTTGTATGTAAATTACGAAAATATAGATAGTGAAACTGGCTGCAGAACATTTGACACAAACTAAATCCGTGAATTGCAAGAATCCAAATCCTCGAGACTGTAAATCTATCTGAGATACTGTATATTCACAAGTAGCAGCTAACAGGACGCCTCCCCCTTTTGAAACATTCATTTTTTCAAAGTTCCTATCAGATCTAATAACTTGGAAATGATCTGGACAAAATTCAGAGTCAAAAATCGAAGAGCTAAGCCAAGTCTCCGTAATGCAGACAAAATCAAAATCACAACAAATCATTGAATTACGTAGGTCTGCCAGTTTGGAATTTAAACCTCTAGCATGAACATAGATAATACACAATGTGAGAAAAGAAGAATAAAAACGAATGGACAAGTTTGAAATCGAACGCGCGACGTCCGGTCCGCATTCCTGACTGGTAACTACTAGAACACGACCGGAACGACTTATGCAAATGGTAAACTGTTATTATACCGTGCATTATGTTTTTGCAAAAATTTGGACAGTTAGGGAAAAACTCAAAGCGGATTCGTATACCACAGTTATAGGACTATTGTATAACAAACGACTTGTTGAAACTCATCTCCTCTTACCTTTGTAACAGATGTCAGTTTGTGCAATACCGAGGATTTCGTTCTGATACCTTCGTTCAGCGTTCGGGAGTGCCTCAAGGGTCAGTCTTAGGCCCATTATTTTTTAACATATTTATAAATGATTGTACCGATTATTTTAATGTTCCATTTTTATTGTACGCTGATGATTTGAAATTATATAATATCATTACAACACCTGAA